ATTCTGAGTTCGTTCTCATTTTGGCGTACATGGCCGATATTTTCGATGCTCTCAATCATCCCAATCGACAGATGCAGGGTGGTGGAGTCAACATCATTGAAGCAGAAGAAAACCTGAAGGCGTTTAAAAAAAAGCTCCCTTTATGGAAACGACGAACAGAGAATGATAACTTCACAAACTTCTCCCTGCTGGACGACTGTGTAAGTAAGATCGAAGACGTGTCTAGAATTGGAGACATTTCTGTACCTGGGGAGCTGAAGCAAGCAATTGCCATGCACTTAGATGAGCTCGCAAAGTCTCTCGACGGATACTTCCCCACCAGAGAGTCATATCCAGCATGGGTGAGACAGCCGTTCACGTTTAGTGTTGCGACAGCAGATGTCAACGATGAATACCTCGAGGAAATCATTGAACTTCAGCAGAGCCAGCTTCAACAGCAACTCTTCAGAACAACAACACTCTCAACGTTTTGGTGTCACCAAATCGTACCATACCCTCTAATTGCTAAGAAAGCCCTTGAGATACTCACACTGTTTGTTACAACGTATCTTTGCGAGCAATCTTTTTCGAGGATGGTAGACAAAAACTAAGAAAAGGAACAGACTTTGTTGTGAAAATGATATGAGAGTGGCACTTGCCAAGGTGAAGCCGCGCATTTCTGAACTTGTATCTGAAAGGCAACAGCAAAAGTCACATTGATTTGCAGTAAATATTCATTGAGTTATGTTTTTGTGTGAAATTCATGTTTTGTTGGTTTTGTTCTTTGAATACAGTGATTTTGTGTGCAACTGATGCATGGTTAATTTTGTGCACTAATAAAATATATACCTATGTTTTGAAGAAATCATATTTTATTTTTCCAATTATGAAGGTTTCGGTGAATGCACTGATGAAGCTTGCAGGGTTCAGTACCTCCAATAAGGTTATGAACCACTAATCTATATGATCACTTATGGTTAACTTCTCCCCACTCTTATCTACCTTTCGCCTCCCTTATCCTGCGCTCAGCAGCTCTGCTCTCAGCAACTTCGCACACAGCATCTCCGCATGCAGCGTCTCCACACACAGCAACTCTACACCTCCACCGCTGCCCTCACCTACGCTCCCTCAGACCCGCTCACCCGTCTGTTCCAGGTGAGGGAATCACTATCACCTGCCTGGCGACGGCATAGGGGTTGAGGTTCCTTTGACGGCTGGAGCGGCTGCGGCGAGATGTCTTCACACTTGGTCCTCGGCAACAACTCTCCCGCTCCGCTCACGCACACTCCCTTATTTTAATTCCTCTGCTAATTATCCAAAACCTCTCGTGCGTCTCTTTAAGCTGTCGCCAGGCTAGCGCCTGTCAGCCCATCAATCAACCATTATCTCCCGTCTCCCTGGCAACACCTCCGGTTTCAGCGTGCACAACCGGTCGACTCCGTTTGCACCTGGTTGCCCCTTAACAACTGGCGGTTTGCCCGTGCAAACCTCATGCGCACCTGTTTGTCCTCAGTTGCCCTGGGTTAACTGTGCACACCGCGTATTTCACTACTCTACACATGCACACGGTGGCGATAGCTGGACTGGGTCACAGCCTTTGGAACGGTTTTGTCGGATTGGCCCGGGACGGCCGGATAATGTTGGAAGCAGCCGGATAATCGATGATCAACTATTTATCTGCTTTACATTTTCACGTGACAAAACCACTTCGTTGAGCTATCATTTGTGGTAGCCAGGTCGCTTCTGACAGCTCAGTGGGCCTTAAGTGGTAAAATAAATAAATAAACTTTTGTTTTTGGTTTAGTGTTGCTCCCTTGCATATATGGGTTTTCTCCAGGAGCTCGTTTCCTCCTACATAAACACTAATCTAGTTACAACTCCCCAATATAGAGAGGATCCCAGAGCTTGAGCATTTACTGGTGCCGGCTCACCACTTGGCTGCTGCTGCATTCCCACTTGTCTGTGGTTCCTGCTCGCTCTTCTCGAGACGTTCTCTCGCTGCAAGAGCGAGTGAATAACTGTGCGGCCCGTTACGAGTTGAAGTTATTTTCTGCTGCAGTTGGAATTCGTGGTCAGTCGGCTTTGTTAGCTTTGCGCCCAAGCTATGGAACGCCTTGCCACTTGAAATCAGGCAGTCGGTAGACATTTAAGTCTGCTTTGAAAACCCATCTCTTTTTAAAGTGGCCTACCCTCTATAGTTTGGTCAGTTGGCCTGTCTTTATTTTTGTTTCCTGCTTTTCATGCATTGCGCATTGGGAACCTAGGATGGAATGCGCATTATACATTTGAATTATATTATTCACATTCTTGCGCCTCTTCCCCTAAATGATATCCTGATTCTTCTACTATTGATGTTCCATCACGAGACATCAGTATCCATTTTGTACTTTGACACAGCATCGCAACCTCCCTGTATTTAAGAATGCAAGTCTCAAGTTTATTTTGTTTAACCATGTGAGGATTGAAGACGCTAGGATAGAGCCTCATTTGCAAGAGTGACCTGGGCATCAGCCCACGGAAGTCGATATCACAGTCACTCACGTAACTTTAAATTCTTATGGGCACCAGCAGTAGTCACAGCAAGGCCCCTCAGTAACATTTATGTGTAGCTATGGAATTGACAGCAAGGGCATTGCAGTGGCGAGATGTTAACTACCTCGCCTGGTGTACAGGGGGTCGTGGGTTCGATCCCGACCCTGATGCCTGCTGTATATTTGGAGTTTGCGTGTCTATCTCCCCATGGATTTTTTCCCTGGGTTCTCTGGCTGCTATAAATTTTCACGTGATAAGCCACTTCGTTGAGCTGTCATTTGTAATAGCCAGGTCACGTCTGAAAAGAGCTATACAGCTCAGTGGGCCTTACCTGGTAAAACAAATTTTTTTAGTAAGTTGATACAGGAGTGCTTCAAGAAAAGCCAAAAGCATTGCATTCGTCCCTGTGTGTGTGAAAAAGCAGGTGATTTCCCAATGCACTCCATTGGGTCCGATTCTGGTGTTGATAGTGGCAGTTTGTAGTGATATTTGGTCCGAAAAATTTCGAATTATCCCTCAGTTATCAAGAGCAACTGCCTTTCTACCAAACGTAATTCAGGCCCGGCCAGGTCACCTTTGACGAACAGATCATAGCTCAGTGGGCTGTACCTGACAAATAAAACAGTATATCCATGAATTAGAGCATATTATTCCTCTGCACTAATCACACCTCCGATTAGCACCATTGGCTAAATACGGTGCGAAATAAGTTCATCGCACATACAGAAAGTTGCAAACCAGTAATCAACTTGAATGGGTTTTGGGCATTGTTAGAAAGTACACTTTATTGCGAAGAAAATGTCATCAACTATTCACTTTGCAATTTACACAAGACCTGAAATATCTTGAATTACAGATCATTGATATCCCTTAGCCAAGAGCGATGCTGAAGCATGGGAAGGTAACTAGGAAACAGACACCATTGTGAAGCATGCACAGTAAAGCCACCGCCTCCGCTATAACCGCGCATGTGGCCGCATGACATTCTCGCCGAATCTTATAAGCCACAGGCCCTGAGGGGGCATGCATATGCGTGGATTAGCACACACGGTACGGACACCATAAACTACGCACAGTGACATACTGATGGACAATCGACTTCGGTGGTACTGTAGACCTAAGTTTTTTTTACACAGGGCACAACCTCCTGATGAGACTCGAGGAAACGATAAAGAAACCAATGTATTTTTTTATTTTACCAGGTAAGGCCCCACTGAGCTGTGGTAGCTATTTTAAGAAGCGACCTGGCCACAAATGATAGCTCAACGAAGTGGCTGATCGTCACGTGGGAATTGATAGCAGTCAAATACTCCTTAAGCGCATGTTGATTCTAAATGTGGAGGGAAAAACCCTAGGACCCGGACAAAAATCCACGTACCCACGGGGAGAGAGAGACATAGAAGCGAACAAAGCCTCACCAGGGTTTTCTATGACGCATTGCTATTAAGAGCCCAATAATTGGTATATTGAAATGTGATTTTATTGCAGAGGGTAAACAAGCTCCCTTTTTGTGACTTTATGTAAATATATTGGTTTGAATAAAAGTGTTTGAGGGATTTTGCGTTTCTCTTTGCTGTGCATAACTATGTTGGGAATGCATCTGACAAACAATTGAACTAGACATGCGTAGGTATGTACAACTTGATAACACTGTAATCAACTTAAAACTGACACTGTGTATTGTTAGGGTGTTTATGAATTGTCTGAGGTTGCTTAATCTGTGGAACTGCCAGTGTTTCTTAGTTAGATGAGGCATAAATATTTGCCTTAAGAGACCACTTTCTGTGCGTTGTTTACACTACGTTTTTTATGGATACTGTGTTTTTTATTCCATATAATGCCATCATGTTTTAGGCTCAGTCTACATTACAATTAATATGACAGATTAAAAATCGTGTTTTTAGAGATACATAATTGAAAAAAAATGAAGATAATTTGTATATTGCGATTATAATTTGCTATCTATTGTTTTACTTCGCTTATGTGTTATTGTTTAAGATTTGGTTTATTTTTACCGTCACTTGTTGCGTATGTCGGAGGAAGTGGTGGTGTTGTTTTTTGTTGATGAAACACGATTCGAGAGCTTCTTGACTCACAGGGTCATGCAAAATAAACTGAAACTTAATGGACAGCTGAGGAAAGACAGTTTGAGTTCGGAAATATATATATTTTTGCACGGACATCATTTGCCGTAGCAAATGTGTAAAGCGTTCCAACCACCCTCCCAACTCTACACTCAATGCGTCTGGTCCAATTCACCGTACGTCACGTGACTTTTTGATGAATGCAACTCAACACAGTATCACTTTAAAAATTTACAATTTTTTCGCATGCTTTCATGGTGGATTATACGTAAATAATAATAATAGGTCTACATCACCACATTAGAATTACATCTTGGTTGCTCTGCCTATAGGCTGTTTAATACTGGAGTTCGTTACCTCAAAATCCACTACGGCAACATACAGCGATTGCTTTTGCATCATGTCGCTGGGTTATGGTGAAGGGACCCACCCCACAGTGTTCATGGAGACCTCTTGCCTATATGAGGCAATCCATACACATTGTAATGAGCAGGCTAAATGGAGCACAGGAGGGCAAGTGAAAGATGAGCTTCATTTTATTCACCCGGAACCATGTTGACGCTCACCCACTTAAACACGTGCTTCTGGCAAATATTGTTCCAAACAGCACAGTAAGCTGCTCATTAGTGAAACAAACATATGTCCGTTTATTTTGTAGATTTAAAATTGCATGTTCATCAGGATTTCACTGTACACGTACGGTAGCTGGGGACCTTTTAAGCGACTGCTTGGACCTGTCCAAAAATTGGCAAATCTCCCTCTTTCCAATGTGTTTTCGGGTCATACCATGTTCTTGTACCATGTTTGTTGTCCTTCCCCTGTACCACCGATTAGCACGGTCGGCTAACACACGTACACGTTCGGCTTCTTCGGGAGCTCTCGTGAAACTGAAGAAGTTCCCAGAAAACGTCGGAGACATCGTGCCCAACAATGCGCAGTGCAACCAAAAAAACACAGACATCGAGAGAGGGCTACGAAGCACAATAAAAACGCGAAAACGTACGCAGCAAAACTCTCCGTCAGTACGGCGGGGGCCCTCGCGGGCACCGTCCCTACCCCGTGGGCACGTGGTGGCCGGGGCCTCACGGGGCCCACATCCCACCAATGCATGGCGGCGAAGTGCGCCCGGCGCGTGTTGGAGCCGCAGTGGACCTCGCCCTTCTTCACGTGGTGCGACAGGAGGTCGTCCACGAAGGAGCAGCGCAGGCCAAGGGGCTCGAGCAGCGAGCACACGCTGGTCTCGAGGGCGCACTGCTCGTCGATGATCGGACCAAACGGCTTGGGGATGGCCAGCTCCTTGTTCAGCACCACCATGTTCACCTGCGAGTCGTGACACGTGCAAGAGGTGAATTTTCTTTCACGTGTGTATGTTTAACTTTGTTAGCAGCGTATGTCGCCAACCGCACTAATCGGCTGAGTGTCTCGCAGTTTATAACGGTTTGTTAGAAACGTCTTTGCCGTGTTCACCTTTCCACAATAAAGAATACGACGTTTCGCCAATTCTGGCCGTCCCCTTATGATGCTAATTGTAATTATTGGTGAAACATCGTACTCATTGTAAATGTTGTGGGTTTACCTCTCCAAAACACCGGTGTGCTGAACTCCTAACGAATTGGCATGTTTTGTTTACGTACTGAACCTTACTAATTAAGCAAGCACCCTCTCTAGTTTCCACTCCTCCCTCAAGACCCACCTCTTCTCCCAGGCCCATCCTTCCCTCCATCCCTTAGCACCCCCATAATTCCGGTACTCACAAACCGCCCTCCCCATACCCCAAACCCTATCCGCCATATCACTTTTCGTTACCCGAATTGTACCACTCATAATCCTTGTAAAGCGCTGTAGATAACAGCGCTATGTAAATATAAGATATATTGGCTGTGTCGGGTGGTGGCGGGTTTGACATTTATATTTATGCGATCTAACCCAAAAAACCTCTTATTATGGACAATATTGGTCGTGAAAGCTCTGCTGCTACTACTACGTGTTAACTTGCACCTGTGGTGGCGAGGCTGTTATTGCTCGCCAAGCGCACGGCTTCCGTCGCGTTTTGCATTCTCGACCGGTCGCAGGGGACGTGAACCCGAGGTTTGCCACGCAACATTGCAGCAGCAACAACGACAATGAGGGCAGCCACACGCACCATGTTGGAGAAGTAGGCCTTGGCCTTGCACTAGTTGAGGAAGAACACGGGGAGCTCAATAATGTCCGCCTCCTCCAGGCCCAGCTCCCTCTTGAGCACGTCATGGTTCCAGTCGATGCAGCGCTGCCACCACACACAGGACAGATAAATGGGGAGCCGGGGATCGCGTCGCTTCAAGGCTGTGTGGCAGGTGCCTCCCCAACCCCAGCAAGCTGTTAATGGCGCTGTCTCCACCGCTGCGTATGTTCAGTGGTCCCTCGGTCTATGATTCCATCGATTAACAATTCGCCTCCCATAGAGTCCCATTTCTATTAACGATACATTTTCAATTAACGATACGGTTTTACGATATCACGCGGCCGCCCATTTCGGCCAATCGGAGCGGTCCCAAGTGGACTCAGCCAACCTCAGCTCCATCAACCCCTTAAGCCGCTATCCATGTTCTTAGCCAAAGGTATGACATTTTATTGTATGCTCTATTGATTATTTATCCATTTTTCTATTCATATTAATGCTCTAATATGTTCCTATAACGTGTATTTATTAAAATTGCGTGTTTAAATATTATAACCTATATTTTTAGGGTGAAAAAGATCAACTTCTGGTCGTCGTTTAACAAATTAAGCCTTCAACGTGTATTTCCTATATTCGATTCATGATGTCAAGTAACGATGGTTTTCGTGGACCCAGTTAACATCGTTAATCGAGGGATCATCGTATATCTGTACAGCGGCTGGGAGGGCAATCACTCGTGATGATAGTGTAGAGGTGTTAACTACTCACTGTTCGGCATTGCCACTAGGTATCAAAGGGGCAGTGCAGCGTTACCTCTGTGTACATAACGGTTGGGGTCAGACGAGGTGAAGTGGATCGTAGCCACAGGTATCAGTGTGTTTAACACGTAGTAGAGCTTCCACGACCAATATCCATGAGGTTTTTTGTTGGGTTAGATTGCGTAAATATACATGTCGTTAAACCCGCCACCACCCGACACAGCCAATTAGTAAGGTTTGTCACGCAAACAAAATATGCCAATTGGTTACTAGTTCAGCACGCCGATGTGTTGGAGAGTAAACTCACATTTATAATTCGAGTACTAAAACTTACATTCTATAGTTGTGGCTTTAGCCAGGAAAAAATACATTTTAGTGATATTGCTATTGATTTAATGATCAACTTATATTTAACATATGTAATTAAAGATATCGGTGTTACAAAAAATAACCTAATGATAACATGTCTAATGAATGTAAAACACTAAAATCCCTCTTGCACCCTCAAATGCGGAATGTGCACCGTTATAACGCGGAACACTCCCGTTATAACGCGGAACGCTCCCATTATAAAGCGGAATGCTCCCATTATCACGCAGAATGAGCGGCGTTATAATGCTGAATGCTCCCATTATAACACGGCATGAGCGCCGTTATAACATGGAATGAGCGCCGTTATAACGCGGTTTTCTGAGCAGTCGACGTCGAACTACTTTCTTGAGCTGCATGGCTGAATGGTGTGATACAGTACGCGGAATGATACAGTAACACGGTGGTGTAGCCTCATTTATCCCGCCACGTTACTCCCCGTGTGCATATCATATCTCGCCAAACTATGTTGTTTACATTTTTAGTGGGGAAAGTTTTTCGCTTAAAACGAGTTTTTAGTTTGAAGCAGCACTTATCAGGAACGCATCTACCGCCTTAAACGAGGACTTACTGTGATAATATATTTTATCATTTTTTATTAAACAAGAGCCCAGTATACGGCACGAGCGACGGAAATTATATTTTTGTTAAACGGACAGTGTGATTATCGTGGACATGACATCGTACTTTATACCGTAGCATCCCCATAAGGGGTGACCCGAATGAGCTGTGTGTGCCCATCTGGTGGAGAGGCGATGATGATGATGGCGAAGCCACTGCCAGCGCATTTCAGTTTCAAATTAGTGAACTATTCTAAACTAAAAAAAATATTTTACCAGGTAAATAGCTCTTTTTCAGAAGCGACCTGGCCACAGAAAGTCAAGAACAAAGAACACGTTTAAACAATTTATTGAAAGAAGTGCAACATCAATCAAACACCAATATTTTAACCACATCAATTTGCAGTGGCGATTAATAAAATATAAAAGAGAAATGCACCTGGAAATGAGGCACTTCTCATAAATGTACTACTGATTTTGGTCCATGGAAGGTACATTAAAAAGCAAAGCGAATCACATGACTTGGTGGCCTGTGGTCGAACCTGGCGCCGACGTCTTTTCGATGCCGAGACACGTAGAAGAGAAGCATTTTGAATCAATATCTCCTGTAAACCGGAGTACATTCACAGTCGGATATTGTCAAGAAATTCTGCGCTTTTAATTTAAGCTAAATTCCCAACTCTGAAAGTTTGACGCTCATGCAATGAGCATTAAGTCTCACGTGGCAGAGCGGGTGAGAAAATTCCTCCCTCTGACACGTGGAGCCAGAGGTCACTTCCAGCTGTCTCAGAGGTAGCGCTGCTATATCCTCTTCAGTGAGCCATACCATTACACAAGGGGGGGTTGGTTGTACTGCTGAATGAGACATCCCAATGGATACTTCGTCTCAGACATGATGCAAACAGGGAAATTATGATAACATTTTGTAAAGTTTAAAAGCCATGTAAAACTATTCTTCACATTAATCTAAATCATTGTTGCCACGGCCAATTCGAGTGACGCACACTCGTTACATTTTTTTCTAATTTAAACTTTTCTTATCCAATGCAAAACTGGATGTCAGAGTTAAGTTGATTCTTGGGGCTCTAGTTATCCTTCGATCTCAAAGGATTCGCAAGTCAATTGGGGGATGAATAGGCCTGAATAGGCACGAACATCATACCAGCCACAGTTTTATTAAATGCCTTTCCCTACACAATGTTTGCAATGATTAGGCAAAAGTCTGCTGCAAGAGTTACTTGGCTTAGATAACGCCCTTCGATAAGCCTACTATTTGTTTTTAGTCCTTAAGAGCTGGCACGAGTTACCTGCCTGAAATAATCAAATCACCATATGTGATTACAGCCTGGATTAATACTCACAAGGCAGTTGCCTGAATTGAACCAGCTGAGCAAGCTATGCCAGGGCTGTGCCGAGCCAACCCTGGTGTGACTCGAGAGGTGCTGGGTTGTTTTTCCACTGCACCAGCCAAGACATGCCAGGGCTGTACCGAGCCAGCCCTGGTGGCACTCGGGAGGTTGCTGGGTTGCTTTTCCACTGCAACCAGCCGAGCCATGCCACCGGCATCAAACACAACGAGCAAGTCGAGACGCAGGTAGACAATGTGGTGACGCCGTGTCCTCACCACAGTGTGCCGACTAGCGTCGCATGCGATGAACGAATCATTAGCCCTGTTTAACACGTAGTAGTAGGCTACCTGTTAGATATAAATGTGTAATTCACCCTGCCACCACCCGACACAGCCAATTGGCGAGGTTTGTCACATCAACAAAACATGCCAATTAGTTGCTGCTTCAGCACATTGATGTGGCGAAGAGTAAAAATAGTAAATTGTGGGTTTACTCTCCCAACACAACCGGTGTGCTGTAGTAGTAACAAATTGACACGTTTTGTTTACGTTATAATCTGGATGGAACACTCATTTCTTAAGAACTGCTTTTTGTGTTTCGTTTGTTGTCCTTCCCCGACACCTCCGATAAGCACGGTTGGCTACGTACGGTGCGAAAGAAGTTCAACATACAATCCTTACAAATTGGCTGCGTCGGATGGTGGCGGGTTAATCAACGTATTTATATTTACGCGACCTAACCCAAGCAAAACTCTTTGTGAAGCATTGACCCTGACCCTGTTTGGGCCCGAGCTAGATTCAGATACTTTGTTAGCCCAGGAAATTATGCTTTGGTTGTGGCTCAGCACAGTGGGAAAACCAACCACCTGTACCATCAGTTTAACACGTAGGCTTTCGTGATCAATATTATTCATAATAAAGGTTTTTGGGTTAGATCGCGTTATTTATAAATGTGTCGTAACCCTCTACCACCCGACATGGCCAAACTGTAAAAAATGTGTCACGTTTACAAAGGACAAATAGTTCACTACTTTAGCCTACCGGTGTGTTGAAGAATGAATCAACATCATTTAAAATTTGAGTACGACGTATCACTGGTCATTACATCCAGCTTCATCGGGCAATTCGCCAGAATTGTAAAGCCCTCACTTGCTCCCGGTCTAAAATAGAGCAGCAGGGTGGCATCATCATTTAACTCATTCAGGTGCAGTGATTTCAGGCGGGGGGGGGGGGGGGAGGTATTGTAATTATATAATCGATTGGTAATCAGTCAATGGTTATGATTAGTAATGAGTTGTAGATTAGTAATTAGTTGTAATGTGTGTTATTGTAATTATATGCACAATAACACATGCGGGCCTCGCACTGGCTTGGCTCGGACGATCCAGCGGAGGACGGGCCATCGGCATGACGTGGGCTGTCGTCTTCACGCCCAGGGGCTTGACGGGTCTCACAGGGGGTCCACGTCCCACCAGCGGACGCCAGCGAAGGGTGAGCGGCGAGTGTTGGAGCCGCAGTGCACCTCGCCCTGATTGAGGTGGTAGGTCTTCAGGTCGTCGATGAAGTGGCAAGCGAGGCCCAGGGGCTCGAGCAGGGAGCGCACGCGTCTCTCCAGTGGGCACTGCCCGTCCACGTGCGGCCAGAATGGCTTTGGGATGCCCAGTTGCTTGTTGAGCACCACCATGTTCACCTGGGCCACGGAATGGCACGGGAGAAATTAATAAGCCTGTATTTTAACGATGATATAAGGAATAATATACTATTTTGCAGAGGTTCTTAGCAGTCAGTTGTAGAGTATTCCAAGTTGGTCATAGAGGAGTGGGGTAGTTTAGGGTACAGTATACAAAGTATGTATGTACGGTGAACTTATTTCGCACCGTGTGTAGCCAACAGTGCTAATGGGAGGTGCGGGGTAAAGACAACAAACTAAACACAACAACAAGCAGTTCTAAGGAAATGAGTTTCCAGTGGCTGAAGTCACGATCAGCGCAAGCACAACGCGATGGCAGTGGTGGATGGTGAATGTTTACAACTGAGACTGCCACTAGTGTGACCACTTGGCAGCATCGTGAAATAAACAGATCTTAGAGAAGGGCACGGCAAGATGCCAGATGGCTATAGTAAACAAAATTCGGATATTGCCATTTCTAACAGATGCCGGTTTAATGGAGCATTCCGGATGGTAAAGTGCCGAATTGCAGAGCTTTTCCTGTATATACTATTAAAAATAATAATTAAAAAATTAAGCTTCTAATCTCAATGGTCCTCAAACTATTTGTGATGGACAGGTCACTTCTAAAAAAGAGCTATATATATCAGTGGGCCTTACCTGGTAAAATAAAAAAAATAGTTAAACAGTTAAAGAGTGGAGCTTTTGTAACAGAGCAGCCACACGCACCACGTCGGGGAAGTAGGCCTCGGCCTTGCTCTCGTTGAGGAAGAAGAGCACGGGGAGGTCGATGATGTCCGCCTCCTCCAGGCCCAGCTCCCTCTTGAGCACGTCGCGGTTCCAGTCAATGCAGCGCTGCCACCACAGTCGTTGCCATTAATACGCACGTGTGCGTGTGTGTGCGCGCGTGTGTGTGTGCATTTCTTCACAGGTGCTCGCTAACAGCACTTGCCCCAAAAGGCCGTTAAGGCTATATGGGGGATCTTTGTCTTTGTGCCTTACAAAATTGGCGCGTGATTTTTGGCGATTTCAGTGGCGATTTTCTTTTTCTCTCACTAACTTTGACGTCAATTATTTTTTATACGCATGTAGTATTAATAATAACGAACGATAAAAAGTAGAATTCAAAGCCATCAATTGGGGCTGTCTTTGGCCTTATGGAAACAATAGGCTTTTGTATTCTTTGGTTCTTTCGGTAAAGTCACGTAGGTAATAATAGAATAAAATAAAACAAAAATAAAAACTAAATTAAATCATGACGTTTTGGGCGCAACACAAGCGCCCGTCATCAGGTGGAACACAACAGTTAGACACATCTAACTGCAGTGAAACAAGACGCTATGTAAATAAGAGAGGGGTGGGAGGAGCCAAGGTGGGGGGGTGGGGGGTGCGTGGGGCGGGGGGTAGGGCATAGGAAGATCAAAGAGAGAAAAGGGAAGACACTAAACATGCTGCAATGGACAACATGACACTAAACATGCCGCAATGGACAACAACATCATGTAGTTATGATTTTACCTGATTAATAACATCTTTCCAATGATTGCTCAATTTGTATCCATCATCTCAGTTAAAGTTATGTCTATGTTTGTGTATCTGGATGGCTTCATGAACAAACCTTTCATAGTAGCCAGATGGTTTGCAGAGTACCTTGGTCTCGGAAAAAACAATATCATGAGAGCCCACAGCATTATAGCAGTGATCAGCAACTGCGGAGGAATTGGTTTTTCCGTGTTTCAGATCTGACTTGTGCTCGCGGACACGGTCAGAAACATGACGTTTCGTTTCGCCAATGTAACAATCACCACAGATGCAACTTAGTTTGTAGATTCCAGGGTATTGCAAGTCAGGAATGACATCCTTCACAGATGAGATTAGATCACGGATTTTGTGTACTGTACTAAATTGGACCTGGATCTTGCGTTTTGTTTAAGATTTTGGCAACCTTTTTGGTAACGCCATCTATGTATGGTAACGTGATGGTTTTGATCGGAGTCTTAGGGGGTTGTTTCTCCATGGTAGGAGATACAACTTTGCGGATAGTACGGTCCGAGTATCCATTCATCTTAAGGGCCATGTGTACATGTTCTAATTCATTGACCAGGTGGTGTTGGTCAGAGATGCAGTCGGCCCTATGGATCAGTGTTTTGATGAGGGAATTCTTCTGTGCCGGATGGTGGTGGGAATCAGGCTTCAGATAGGAGTCTGTGTGGGTGGCATTCCTTTAGACAGAATGTCCCAAAGAGCCATTGGACCTCCTCTCAAACAGAACATCCAAGAATGGTAGCTTGCCATCCTTCTACATTTCCATGGTGAATTTGATTGATGGGTGTATGGAGTTAATGTGGTCAAGAAATTGGTTCAATGCTGGTAGGCCATGTTGCCAAATGACGAAAGTGTCATCCACATATCTATTCCACAGGGAACGACATAGGGTGGATGTCTGGATGGCGTCTGTTTCAAATTTCTCCATGAAAACATTGGCTATCACTGGTGACAAGGGGGGACCCATGGGGTATCCTCATTTTGTTTGTAGAAAGTACCATTCCAGGTGAAGTAAGTGTTGATGAGGCAGTGCCTAACCAGCACAGGGACATCAGGGTTCAGTCCATGTTGGACTAAGTCTTCAATTATTGCTATGGTGTCAGTAGGCCTCGGCAAGGTAAGGTAAAAGGTTAAAACAACGAGCCTACCTTTACCCTACCTTTTACCTTACCACAATACAATCACTCTACCCTACCTTTTACCCTTCAGCAGGTAAGGTAAAAGGTTAAAAGCAACGAGCCTACCTTTACCCTACCTTTTACCCTTACCCCACCTTTTACCCTTACCCCATACAAATTACCCGATTACAGGGTAATTACTGGGGTACTGCACATGAAAAAGGTTTATAACAGGTAAATGCTAGGTAGAGTGCTTTATTCATATAGAATACTCTCGATGATTACAATTTTACACGCTTTATTTTAACTCACTGTTGTTGTCCTCAAATCTTGTAACTCAATTTTAACCCACTTTCCAATGTGGTATCGACTGCAAACTTGATATACTTATGTCATACTGATGACGATACTATATTCTATCATTAAAAAATATATATAAGTTTTTATGTTATGTTTCGGCTTGGGTCTAATTGTCCACAGTCAACTGACGTTGGCTGTAATTGGCCACGGTCCCTTACGTTACGGCAAGCTTCGGGGCCACTTCCTGGAGTCGTGGAGTTCTGCCATTACTCATACATTTCATAAAAGCGTGTTTTTAAGAAAGTTTTTTTTAAATATTACTAATTAAATGGAGGCCACGGACTGCGCCACGGAGCTTTTAGCGGTAAACAAGGCACCGTATTTACCGGGTAATACTTCGCGCTACCGTTACCCTACTGGGTAATTCTTCCGAGCTACCTTTAACCCTACCCTTTACCTTACCCCTTGGCATGTCGACACTTTTACTCTTTTACCCGGTAAAAAGGGTAAATTACCTTACCTTGCCGAGGCCTAAGTGTCAGGCACTGGAACCTTGGTAAATGGAGAGACCACATCAAAGCTGACGAGGACATCATCAGGGGACAGTGAAATGTCCTTGATTAGAGAGACCAAGTGAGTTGAATTAAGTACAGCTGAAGTGGTCTTGCCTGTAAAGGGAAGTAAAGTATCCGGCAGAAAACGGGCTAGTTTGTAGGTAGGTAAGTTGATCGTGGACACGATGGGCTGCAATGGGGTACCTTCTTTATGGATCTTGGGAAAACCATAGAATCTGGGTGGTCTAGCAGCCGAGGGTTTTAGGGAGAGCCGTTTGACTGGTTCGATTAGGGAAGTCGAACTGGTAATTTTCTTGTTGGTTTTAGTAGTTAGGCTGTTAGTCAGATCTCTATTGATTTTGGAGTAGCTGCCATCATTGAGTAGGCCCTGGATTTTGTTGTTGTATGTGGTTTTATCCATGATGACAGTGGCATTGCCCTTGTCGGCCGAGAGGATGACTATCTCATCCCTCTTTTTCAAATTTGCGAGTTCAGAGCGCTCATTTTTGCTAATGTTGCTAATGGGTTTCTTAGAATTTTTGAGGATAGTGGCAATTTCAGCTCCAGCAACGTCTGTTTGGATGTGTCCTAAGCCTTTGAGGGCTCAGCATGTTTAGTGTCATGTTGTCCATTGCAGCATGTTCAGCATGTTAGTGTCTTCCCTTTCCTCTCTTTGATCTTCCTACGCCCTACCCCACGCACCCCCCACCCCCCCACTCTGTATCTCCTCCTTGGCTCCTCCCACCCCTCTCTTATTTATATAGCGTCTTGTTTCACTGCAGATTTCTTGCTCAGTTCAGCAGTTGTTTCTAACTGTTGTGTCCCACATGATGACGGGCGCTTGTGTTGCGCCAGAAACGTCGTGATTTAATTTAGTTGTTTTTATTGTTGTTTTATTTCATTTTTTTATCTACGTGACTTTACCGAAAGAACCAAAGAATATGGATCCTTGCAGTCACGAAAACTTAAAATCTAGAATAGGCTTTTGCTCATGAAACGGATATACGGTGAAGTCCTCGCTTAACGCGTGTTCACACACCGCGTTCCTCGCTACGAGAGTTCTGCGAGGGAGCACTCTCGCACACAAGCGGAACGCGCCATGCAACAACGCTGGCTGCTCTCAGTTATAACGTTGACCGCTCCCCATTATAACGTGGACCACGCCCCGTTATAACGTGGTTCCTGAGCGGTCGACGACGAACTACTTTCTTGAGTCGCCCGACTAAGCGGTATGATACAGTAACGCGGAACAATACAGTAACGCGACGGCGTACCCTCATATCAGTTGTATGTCCTACCATCGGATGAGTTAATTATATAAACGTGATTCAGTCGGTTAATTCCTCACTTAATGCATTTACACTGAACGCAGCACTTTTCAGGAATGCATCTACCGTGTAAACGAGGAATTTCTGAACACGAATGAATCCCACCCCCTTAACGAGGCAGGTGTTTGAAGGACACCCTAAAATCGTGTGTGTGTGGTTATCTCTGGGTATCAGTGTGTGTGTGTGTGGTTATCTCTGGGTATCAGTGTGTGCGTGTGTGGTTATCTCTGGGTATCAGTGTGTGTGTGTGTGGTTATCTCTGGATATCAGTGTGTGAGTGTCTGTGGTTATCTCTGGGTATCAGTGTGCGAGTGTGTGGTTATCTCTGGGTATCAGTGTGTGTGGGTGTGGTTATCTCTGGGTATCAGTGTGTGTGTGTGGTTATCTCTGGGTATCAGTGTGTGTGTGGTTATCTCTGGGTATCAGTGTGTGTGTGGTTATCTCTGGGTATCAGTGTGTGTGTGTGGTTATCTCTGGGTATCAGTGTGTGTGTGTGGTTATCTCTGGGTATCAGTGTGTGTGTGTGGTTATCTCTGGGTATCAGTGTGTGTGTGTGTGTGGTTATCTCTGGGTATCAGTGTGTGTGTGTGTCTGGTTATCTCTGGGTATCAGTGTGTGTGTGTGTGTGGTTATCTCTGGGTATAAGTGTGTGTGTGTGGTTATCTCTGGGTATCAGTGTGTGTGTGTTTGGTTATCTCTGGGTATAAGTGTGTGTGTGTGGTTATCTCTGGGTATCAGTGTGTGTGTGTGTGTGGTTATCTCTGGGTACCAGTGTGTGTGTGTGGTTATCTCTGGGTATCAGTATGTGTGTGTGGTTATTTATGGGTATCAGTGTGTGGTTATCTCTGGGTATCATTGTGTGTGTGTGGTTATCTCTGGGTATCAGTATCTGTATGTGGTTATTTATGGGTATCAGTGTGTGGTTATCTCTGGCTATCAGTGTGTGTGTGTGTGTGGTTATCTCTGGGTATCAATGTGTGGTTATCTCTGGGTATCGGTGAGAACAGGTCCACCTCTGGGTGAATACTGTACCTGCACATTATTGTTTTCAGTCGTGATGTTTATGTCATCGAGGATGTCCTGAATCTTCATCTTGCGCTCCAAGGATGAGACAACTGTGGGGGGATCATAGATGGGAAGAGGGTGATCGCGATAGAGGAGATGTGGGAGGTCAGAGGTTAGGTTTCATTGCTTACAGCATTGACTACAACTAGCATTACTGCCTGTTGTAATTACAACTAGCAGTAACTACAACTAGCAATGGTGAAACGTCATACTCAGATTGTAAATGTTGTGGATTTGCTCTCCAACACACCGGTGTGCTGTGCTAGTAACAAATTGGCATGTTCTGTTTACGTGACAAACCTCAATAATTGGCTACGTCGGGTGGTGGCGGTTTTAACGATACATTTATATTTACGCGATCGAACCCAAAAAATCCGTATTATGGATTCTGTTCAATGCAAAACCGGTACCAGTTCTCGGTGCAAATCAATCGCTGCCACCCAAAGAGAGATGCCAATTTCCTGATTGTCCAACTGAAACCCAAGACATGTGGCAGCCCTGACTTTATAATGCCATCCAATGTTTGGTGCTTTACAGTTATATTTCTTGGAAAGGCAAGGATATTTTCCCAAAACGTATTTTTTCTTTCTTTGCAACTCACCAGATGGAAGTCTTTACAAAAGGGTCGGTGCCTCATTTTTCTCTTCTAGTCAATCATGACCCAGAACTTTTATCAGTATTAGAATACAGTCTAGGAAAGGCCTAAGGCCCAATCCACCACGTTTCCATTTTGCCTGCTTTCAGATGCCCTCAACCAGCAGAAGACGAATATGTACCTGCACATTAAAGCTAAACACAAATACGTAGTCGTCCAATGTGCGGGACACCGCTTCATTTAATACCTAGGATCTTGCGCTGCCAACTGCAGCTTCAGCGTCGATGTTTATAAATCTTCAACCTGCACATTTAGTGACGAGCTCACCGTCTGGGCAGCTCTCAAAGAGGCGCCTCTGGCCGTGGCCCTGCTGGTGCAGCTCCTTGAGGAGACGGAGACACGCGTTGGGGCTCGCGAGCAGCAGCCGGAACCCCTGTGTGTCGCACGGCACCACAAGCAAATCGCACACAACAACAACACAAACACGTAGAACACAACGACAATAATAACACCACGCAAAGCACAATACAATTCACCGTAACACAAACACGTCACACACAATGACAACACAACACAATGCACAGCAACACAAACACATCGCACACAACGACAACAACAACACAAACACGATGAACAACGGCAATAATAACACCACACAAAGCACAACACAATGCACGGCAGCACAAACGCATCACACACAATAACAACACCGCACAATGCACAGCAACACAAACATATCGCACACAACGACAACACCGAAAGCGCACAACACCGTACAACAACACAAACATCGCACACAATGACAACGACATCAACACAAACACATCGCGTACAACAACGACAACAACAACACAACACACAACAACACAAACAGACAAAGATCGTTAGCAGCCCCGCCGTTGGGCAGGGGCCTCCCACCCGCGTCTTCCACTCTTCACAATCTCTTTGCCACCTCCATCTCGGGCATTCCTCCAAACTGCATCTCATCCCACAATCTCATTTTCCATCTTTATTTTTCCTTCCAATCTTCAGCCTTAGTTCCTTTGGTAATGTTTCCCCATCTCTCATCCGATGTGCGAGCAATATCAGCCCCCCACTGGAAGCCCTGCGGCCACCTTGTGCCACTGATGACGCCGTCACTCGTCGTCACCGAGGTCGTCACTCTGGACATCTTTGTGAAAAAGAGCTTTGTAGCTCATCGGATTCTTCCAATAAAAATAATTCAGATTCTGATTCTGAGGGTCGCGCGTCTTGAAGGCCGGATGCCTGACAGCTGCCATTGGAAAATGCATGCCGCTAAAATGATTATTTTAAAAAAATCTGTCTTCTAATTGATTTTTCTAAATCTCACACAAACCCTCCTATTAACTCCTTTTTAAAGATCTTATTATCTTGTTCAAGTAAAAAAAGATCAATGGTCATCTATTTGCATATTCTCCAAATTATAAGAGACAGTTTTTTTCTCCCCGTACTTTAAAACAACATTTCCAGGTGCATCTTATTATTCAGTTTTCGTGTGTGTGACCAATATAACTTTATTGACACTGGGCACATGTTTAGAGTGCATCGGACCTTGCGAGTCTTTTATAATGATGAGACTATGGTATACCTTCAATAGTGCTGTTTGTTTGCTCACCCCTTGCCATTTTGGGCCTGTGCTTAGCAACCACAATAATAACAAAATAACGCATGTATATAGACATTGTGCATGCACGTGCGCTCGCATATACAGGGTGCTTAAAAAAATGTTTAACACGTCTGAGAATTTGCAACAATGCCACAAGAAATGTGCCTCCAGGCTCTGGAGACCACCTGGAGATGATTCCAGGCATGTGTTGACAATGATTGCGAACAAGTGGAGACTCTTTCACATTTTTAAGCTATTAACATTACATTTTGGTATCATGTTACAGTACCTTATCCGTTATTTTTTAATTAAAAACGATGGTCCCATGTAAGTGTTAACGTGTTTTTGAAGCGCCCCGTACTCGAGGCCAGCGGTACTCCACGCCAGCGGTTCCCAACCCTCTTTCCCAACCTCCAAATATTTAGCGGAACACCACACGCTGCAACCACTAGTTATTTGAAATTGTGCATTTCCTCGGTGAGGATGTTATTATTTATCTTTTTTTCCACGGGACCCCCACCCCACCATAGTAGCCTCGCGGACCACAGGTTGGGAACCACTGCTCGAGTTTAAAAATCCATGCATGGTCCTGCCCCACCCTCGTCTTGCTTCTCTCGTCTCTTACTCCTCTGTTACATCCTATCCTCTATGCTCCCAGTCTCTGCGGTCCCTCTCCGTGCCGCCCTCACCATCCTGCACCCAGCCTCGCTCTCTCGTTCCTTGTCCCTTCTGGCTCCCCTTCACTGGGAACAAACTCCCACTGCACGCGGAACAATCGTTGCCAGAACAACCAGCTGCCGCTCCTCCCTTAAATCCCATCTCTTCTCCCCAGTCCAATCTACTACTGCTGCTGCTACTAAACTAACCTGAAATTTAATTAAACCATTATTTTACCAGGTGAGGCCCACAGAGCTATGTAGTGCTTTTTCATTAGTGGCTAATCACATTGGCATTTATTGCAGCCAAATGCTTTAAAAGCATATTGATTCTAAACGTGAAGGACCCGGAGACAAATCCTCGTGACCACAGGAAGAACATGCAAACTCCAAATATACAGCAGGCATCAGGGTCAGTATGAAATCCACTACCTCCTCTACACCAGGTAAGGTAGTTAAAATCTTGCCACCGTGGCGCCTCCCTGTCCCCCACCCCCCAGCTACTACCAGACCTACCCCAACCCCCCCCCTTAACCTCTCCCGCCTGTCCTCCTAACCGTCACCTAAACTACACCACCACTTTCTAAATCGCAACAACCACCATCATCTCCCGTGTAATCGGAGGACAGTTCACCATCACGCCAAACCTTGCGGTCGGGCGCCGGCACGAAGCTCATGAACTCGTCGACGTGGCCCACGCTGAGCCAGTCGCTGTAGAGCTCAACGGGCGCCTGCACCTGCTGCGCGAACAGGAACTCGCGCACGGCGCGGGCCATTTTGCGCCCCGCGCGCTCTCTGCAGGGACGGGACCACATACGAGACAAGCGGGGCGGGGCGGGTCAGGGCGGGTCGGGATGTCACACCTGGGCGACAACGACGGGCGACGGAGTCAGGGGGATAAGGGGACAGGAGGTGGAGAGGGAATGCGGTGAATGGGACGATCCTGCGAACGAGGGACCCATTTGAGCTCGAGGTGGTGCGTGGCACGTGCCTGTAGTCCCGCCACTCTTAGAGTGATTGGTGCAGCGGCGGCGTGGTTGGCTTGGGCCCTGGTGAAAATAATTAATTGGGCCCCCCCATCCCTCCATCTTCAATTTTCCCCCACTTTGTATCATAAATCGTTACAACTCAATTATGAAGCTGTTTCATGACCGTTCCCCTCTTGTCTGTGTGTGTGTGTGCGAGCTGCTTAATGAGCTCATTCTTTACGTTTTCTGGCTTTCTGCCGAGTTCGGTTATGATTCTGAATCATACTATACAGTGTTGTTATGTTAAGGTTTGGTATTGAGCGGTATGCCACGTTAATTTAAAAAAATATCGCACGATATGCTGCTAGGTGTGTACAAGTTATTCGTATGCTGGTGGTCACATGGCTATATATTTTTTTTGCTCTCAGGAAGCCACTAGAGCTATGCCCTTTCAAATCGAAATTGAAAAATAATTCTTTAAAACTGATTTTTGTACTTAGTTAATCCTGCAATCTCAAATGTAAATGATGTATAAACCTGAAAAGTTTGCATCTGAACTTCAATCTTTGATTAGTTTGTTGTCCTTCCCCCACACCTCCGATTAGCACGGCTGGCTAACGTACGGTGCGAAAGAAATTAAACATACACACCTATATACAACAGCTGGACTCCTCTGGCTTATCGGCAGTGCCTTCCCTGTGACGGCACCAGAGAAGGTGTCGGTCCAGCGATGTTGGTAAATTGTCACGATTCAGCATCGTGACCAAACTCGCCCGTTTTTTGTGTAGATGGTACCCCGTTTGTATTTTCTCGTTTATTTCTCTGTCTCATTTGTTGCAGTTTTTTCTTGACGATGGGTGTTTGAGGAATCGCCGATTCCAATACAATTGTTGCATTCAACGGCGAGCGCACGTCCAAATGTGCTTTCATGTGAATTCCAGTCTTGCGCAAGAGCAATTTTCGACGTCCGCTCGCCACGAAGAGAGTGCTTCGGGAGGAGGCAGCTTTGCCATTTTCTCCCATTGAAGAGGGCGAGGGCTACAGTGGTCCACTATATACTTGAACTGATTAAGGCTAGTGCAAAGGAGAAAGCTATTTTTACAAGTGGGCTAATGGGGGGGGGGGAGGGGGGTGAAGATAACCGTACAAATGAGATAGAATAAACGTGAAAAAAATTAAGCCCAAATGAAGTGGAGGGGGTGGAGCTGGGGTGAGGAGGTGCATTGCGAGATGAACCAGCCAACCCGAGTTCGAATCCCGGCCATGTTCAACATCGGTAAAAGAGCGTTAACCTGAACCGGGCCTGGCCCATTCCCACTCACCAAACGTGAAGGATGGTGGAAACAACCCCCTGTGATTAACATTGGTGTGGAGTGGCCTTAATGCGGAAGATTTTTTTTTTAATGCAGCAAGGCAGTCGATTTCTTCCTTACTTTCTGAAAACATGACGAAAAATAATGACTGAAGAAGAATCGGCTCTTGAATCAAATCGCGGCCGCCGACTGAATATTCATCGAGTTATTGAAGAGGTTCGGGGGGAGAGGGGGGGAGGTGAATCATTCCATGCGGCGACCCCCAGAATGAGAGAGGGAGTGAGACACCCAGCAGACTCACCCGGGGAAGGCGCTGCCGATGATGATGCGCCCGAGTGGATATTTCTTGCCCCTCACGATGACGGGGGGCGACACCTCAAGGTTTCCGAACGAGTCCAGGCTGTTCACCCATTCGCCTCTCCGTGTCTTCCGCGTCACGTAGCCAAAGTCCTTGCCCTGAGACGCCGGCCAGGGCAGAGAAACACCATGGTGGCGAGATATTAACTACCTCGCCTGGTATGCTGGAGGTCGTGGTTTCGATCCCGATCCTGATGCTTGTTGTATATTTGGAATTTGCATTTACTCTGTCTCCATGGTCTTGTGGATTTTTCTCCGGGTCCTCCGGTTTTCCCCTGCACATTAGGAACATGCAGTTCAGAGTATTTGGCTGCTACAAATCTCCACGTGATAAGCCACTTCGTTGAGCTATAATTTGTGGCCAGGTCGCTTCCGAAAAAGAGTCATATAGCTCAGTGGGCCTTACCTGGTAAAATAAAATAAAAATGTTGGTTTTAGTTTTAAAACATAAAAGGCTCACAGACTGAAGGGCTATAATCTGTTGGAATATTACACGTTGAAACAGACCATGGTTCATTTACATTATTACCCACAACTAGTGACATAGGTGCATAATAAATTGAGTAAAGTCTCTGAAAAGTTCACGATTTGAAAAAGAGCTATAATTGCTCAGTAAGTCTTACCCCAGTCCAATTGCCTCCACGGACTCATCCCTGCATGCCCCGTCTCACTCCATCCTCTCTCATCATCCCCTCGGTTCCCCTCCACGCCCCCTCCTGCTGCTCCCCTCTCATCTCACTCTACTCTCCTCCGCACGACCTTCCCATTGCTCCCTTTCTTTCTGTCCTCACCATACTCCCCCCTGTGTATAGGAGGAGACGATGCATTTCGTGGGTAACAAGCAATTCCTGTGAATGGGTCACTGTATGATGTATACAGTAGTCCCTCGTTAACACTGACATCGATTAATTATACCTATCAACCTGTTATCAGTGCCTACCTTATTTCAGACCAATTCAGACAGTATTGGTCACCCCGTGCCCTTATAAAGGGCGAAACACAAACAAATAGAAACAAAATTTTGCCCGCATGGAAACGGCTGTACGCCGTATGGACCTGAAAACTTAATTTCCCTGTACAAGAATATGGGTAAACCGTATGGGTTGACAGGTATGTTTAATGTTTTTTAATCGGTTCACGTTTCACCTCCTATAGGACCCCTATGGTTCCGACTGACGTTAACATGTTGATTGATGGTAATGTTTACGTTCTGCACCCCGCGTGCAGAACGTAAACATTACATGACTGGTACCGTCTTCCTGTTTCAGGAGAAACCCAATTTTCTGATATACCATGATAAGTCCACCCGTTCGCCCAACTTAACGCCATTCGATTTTTTTTATCTCTGCGATTTTTTAAATAAAGTCTACAACTAGCAAACCAAGGGACCTTGAAGAGCTTAAACATGCTACTGTTGTTGATGTTGCTGTGTCATCATCCATCCCCTACAGCTGTGTTGGAAAATGTTTTCTCAGGGTTTGAACACTGAATTAGTTTGATTATAGTGAATTATTGATCATAGTAAATGATGGACGACGTGGAAGTTTATTAATAATCCGATAATATCTAATCAATACCATAACATTTTAAATAAACTAAAAACTCCTAAGCCATATTAAATTAATGTCAGTACCTCGAATAACAATAAAACTACTCAACATTATTTTTGGTCTATTATTTTTCGGACACCCTGTATGCTTTTTAATCCGCGATTCGCGAGGCAGTGTGCATCGCTTTCTGCCATGGAAGCGTAGCCAGCAAGGGCTGGGTGGGGTCGACGCGGTTACCGTTAGAAGGATCGGCACGGCCTTTAGTTCGCGGTCCCGCGGGGAGTCGAACACGACCGGTATGACCTTGGTGGGACACTCGCAGTAGCCAAACTCCATCTCGTCCTGCACGTGAACAAAGAGAAACGTCAATTACCCCACCCCCACGAAACCTCGCTGAGTGAATGGAGCAGCGTTGGTAGCGAGTGAATCCACCGGCGGATTAAGGCCTCCCAACGTCGCACTAAGACGTTTGGTTTGTTTGACCATACTTCACCGTGCAGGTGGAGTGCAGGCTGAAGGGTGGGCCCTAGGACCAGTTCGGTTATCACTCACCACTGATGTTAGCTGTCATGAGGAAATCGAACTTGGGTCGCCGGGTTCATAACCCAGTGCTCTCACCACTGCACCACTGCACCACTGCTCCATCAGAACTGCAGCATTATGAGATTCTAATCATCTTCGACAGATGAGCTCACCCTGTGTGCTTACCACTATGAATGAGAATTGAACTCAGGTCACTGGGTTAGTAGTGCAGCACGCTAACCGCTACTCTACGGCTCCCCACACACCTCAGTACTCTCTCTTACACACTGACACTCACCTGCATCCACACGTCCATCTTGACCTGTATTTCAATTGGCGTGCACCCGGCCAGGTGAGCGAGGGTGGTCATCTGCTTTATGAACACCGCATTCGAGTCGACCCTGGGGTGACAAAGACAAAGATCCCCCGTATAGCCTTAACAGACTGTAGGGGCAAGTGCTGTTAGCAAGCACCGATGAAGGCCGGCACAGCACACGAGGAGGTGGGTGGCCAGCACTACACCAACACACACTCTTCCACACACCTTTGTCTCCCTAGTGGTGACGTTTACACATTGCACCAGCTACTCCTTTGAGGCTAAGTCGACCTAGGGGAGGTCCAGGACCGGTAAAAATATTCGCTATCACTGGTGTTGGCTGTTAACGGGAATCGAACCTGGGTTGCCGGGTTTGTAGCACAGCGCACTAAACTGCTACACTTCCACTCCCTACTAACCCTGGGGTGAGCACACAACCACGCAAACACACAACCACGCAACCACAGAACCATGCAACCGCTCACCATGCAGAGAGGATACACCACGCATCACACGCCACCGCATCTAGGCCCGGTTTAATTTATTTTTGGGATTAACATAAAAATCAGGAACGTATCCCTACTCCCCAGATACCTTGACATGAAGACCTCCAGCGCCGGCTGGGTATTTGGAGTCATGATCCACGGAGCCACACGAAAAACCACGCTGTCGGTGAAAATCGGCGTGCTCTGTTTGCCCTGGCAAAAGCGAGAAAATAATACTATAGCGTCACAAAACAACCTAACCCATAATGTTCATAATGATGGTTTTGGGTTAGATCGCGTAACAATAAATGTGTTGTAACCCTCCACCACCCGACACAGCCAATTGGTAAGGGATGTGTCATGTAAACAAACGCCAATTAGTTCCAACTTCAGCCCACCGGTGTGTTGGAGAGTAAATCCACAACATTTACAATTTGATTACGATGTTTCACTGGTAATTACATCCAGCATCATGCGCCATTTGCCAGAATAGCCTATCCCACTTCACTTCCCATAGATGGATCACTGATGTCAAGATGTGTCCAGACACCTGGATAAAAAATAAATCGCAACGTTCGATGGCCAGCCAAAAAGCCGACTGCTGCGAGGATGACCGAAGTCTGCGCGATGGTTTATGCTCCTCGACAAGAAAGATGGATGCACGGGGATAGTTGCTGCTCGGTTGCTGCTGCTGCTGGTTCTGATGCCCACTCACCGGCAGGATGCTCTGCAGGAGGCTGAGGTGGAAGTGAACGAATCCGTTGAAGTCGCCGTCCGGGAAGCTTAGCCCCTCCACGAAGAGGTTAACCTCTCCGCCACGACCCGGGTACTCGAACAAGTAGCTCGACTTTCCCGGCCCCAGCGAATGGCTCTCCGTGCCTATCACCTTGCTCAGATCTCAACACCACCGAGGCAACGACAACGTGTCAACCAGCGAGTGTCCTTCACTTGACATGTCCTCCGTCACGTTTACAAGCTTGTGATGGTTGTCCGATCTCAGAATCAAGAGTAGGATTCAGACTGGAGAGTGCAGTAAAACCCTTTCTATCTGCGAGGATTACGTTGTTGAAAATGCTCGCGAATGCAGAAAAACCTTTGTTCCAGTGGGGGAAAAGCGGGGTGAAGTTCCTGGAATGAGTGAACATAGGGAGGAAATGGTAAGTGTTTAATAACTATGACTACAATAAATAAATAACATTCAGAAGTACGACGTTTTTTAAAATTTCCTTTGATAATGATGATGATTTGACAATGATAGAGGTGGTGGTGGTGATCTCCTCGGGAGATGCAGGGGTTTGATAACAACGCAGCACAGCTGTTATCAGTTCAGCACTGGGGAGCGCAAGCCGCAACACTCTCCCTGATTGCATTCGCGTTCTTTTTAATGGACCGGACAGTCGAATCGTTTAAAGATTTGGTATAAGTACGTATATGAAGTAAAAAAATCCACAAGAGTGAGTTTAGAGCGGGATTACTGCAAGACGTGAGGACTATGTGGGCAGCCGAGGGGGCATACCTGATCTTTGCAGACAGTTTCAAATGTAGTAACATTCTGTGCTCACCTCCCTAGTGTCGATGGTTTGTAGGCACTACGCACACTCGCGAATACTGGAGTCCGGCGGGTCGCGAAGAGGGAAAAATGGATACATTTAGAAACTCGCGAATATGTGAAACTTGCAAATCCAGAACTCGCGCTTAGTGAGGATTTCTTGTATTTGGATTGAGGACTGCCTCAGGATACCAGCTACCATAGGCTTGAGATGCCAGGTAACCAGGAGATAGCAACGCAGCTACAGAATGTATGAAGTGAAGTCGTGAGTCGTAAGGAATGAACTTGCGGACCGTATCTCTCTTTAAATACACCTTGATGCTAAATGCAGAGGGAAAAAAAAACGGAGGACCCGGAGAAAAATCGACGCAGCCACGGGAAGAGAGACATGCAAACTCCAAATATAGAGAAGTCAGGGTCGGGATCTTACCCACGAACTCCTGTATACCCAGCGAGGTTGTTAACATATCCTAGCCACCGTGCAAAGTGATTATAGACAGGCGTCAGGGTTGGGCTTGAGCCCACGACCTCCTGTATCCTGTATACCAGATGAAGTAGTTAACATCTCTTAGCCACTGTGGCGCAGTGCTCCGTTGGGTCGATGGGCCTCTCACCAGGTACGTAGAAGACGCCGGCGTGCTGCGACTCGAGGCTGTGCAGCTGGAGGCTGTAGCCGGGCGGCAGCTTGGCGGGACCTCGGGTACGAACCAGCATGGGCGACATGTCCTGCAGGTCTGTCGGGGGATGGTCACATGCGGCGGCATAGCGATCATCACCCATCAGCTCATTAGTGACACAGTGATTATCACCCGTCAGCTCAGTGACACGGTGATCATCACCCGTCAACTCATTAGTGACACAGCGATCATCACCCGTCAGCTCATTAATAACACGGTGATCATAACCCGTCAGCTCTTTCTGAAGCCAGCATCGCAGCTTCACTCGATCTCATTCCCTCTTCTCATTCCTCTCTTTCTCCACTGCATCTACCCAACCTCGTTCCTGGTCTTCCCTCCTCCCAGTTTCCCTCCACTTTTGTGGGCACCGCAACATGGCTCCCGCGACGCTTCGTCGACACCCAAGGCCTCTCGCCCCTCTAGGGGGAGCCCTTCTAAAGCAGTGGTTCTCATACTGGGGGGTACTCGGGGGTACAAGCAGTGCCAGATTAAGCTAGTGCGGGGCCTGTAGCATATGTTATAAAGGGGCCCTAAATATGAAAACACAATTTTTTTACTTGCATAGTAACGTCATTGTATTTTTTAGTTTGCTATACAGCCAGATAATACGACAAATCGCTAACCTTTAAACACCCAGTCATTCATAAAAGTTGAAGTCGGTATAGTACTATAATAATAGAGAATCACTGAACCGGAATTGATAGCTTCAAAGCATTTAGCGCGGGGCCCTTGAAAGTGCGGGGCCCGTAGCTACTGCACGTGTAGCTACTGCACGTGTAGTAGCTACTGCACGTGTAGTAGCTACTGCACTTGTAGTAGCTACTGCACGTGTAGTAGCTACCGCACGTGTAGTAGCTACCGCACGTGTAGTAGCTACCGCACGTGTAGTAGCTACCGCACGTGTAGTAGCTACCGCACGTGTAGTAGCTACCGCACGTGTAGTAGCTACCGCACGTGTAGTAGCTACTGCACGTGTAGTAGCTACTGTAATAGCCACTGATACAGATACTACATGTGTAGCTACTACATGTGTAGCTACTACATGTGTAGCTACTACATGTGTAGCTACTACATGTGTAGCTAGACATGCTCCTCGGATAATCCCGCACTGGGTACAGGTGGCAATGTCCCAGGGGGTACCTGAGGTGATTTATCAATGAGAGTCATTGAGTAAATAATCTTAGATGAGTCTGCCAATATAAAATAACCAAGATGAAATTTATATCCATATGGTAACCCAAAACGTTATGAAAAACCTTTCTAAACTCACCGATCGTAAACAATGTGGGTTTCCAAGATAACCAGCGAGCGCGAACAAATTACCTCGCACGTTGCACAGCGTCCAATTAATTTTCTTTTATGCACTTGCAGTTACTACCTAGTTAGGATACCTCACGAAATGGACAACTGGTTCAAATATTGATGTCCATTATTCATACATTTATTTCTCAGAACCATGTTTAGTCGAGCAAGGAGCTTGTGCTCGTATGAAACAAAATTCAACAAGGGGGTCACAGAAGTAGCCAATCGAAGGTTGAGAACCACTGATCTAGAGGGCGTTTACGCATGTCACACGTCACACATTTTTTGTGCATTTGTATTATTAAAGAATAAAAACGCTCAGCAGGTCGTCAATGAGGAGCACGGAGAAAGCGAAGCGGCGTGAGGTGGAGATTGGAGTTTGCATGTCTCTTTCTCTCTCTCCCCGTGGTCGCCTGTGGATTTTTTTCCGGATCCTCCGGTTTTTCCCTCAAACATTTCAAATCAACGTCACGCGTTTAGAGTATTTGGCTGCTGTAAATGTCCACGTGATGACAAGCCACCTTCGTCGAGCCGTCATTTGTGAATGCCAGGTCGCTTCTGAAAAAGAAGCTATATACAGCTCAGTGGGGCCTTGCTTGTTAAAATAAAAATTCGTTTAGTTTATCAATTTTTAGTTCATGGAGTGGCGACCGCGCACCTGCTGCCCCCTGTAGGTAGCGGTCCTCGTTGTCGGGTTTTGGGGTGGAGTCCCTCTCCTTGTCGCAGTTCACCAGAAGAATGGCGCCATGCCCGTTGGGTCCCCACTTCCACGTCGCCTTCACGCGCCACAGAGAAAAAGACAAAGATCCCCCCCATGTAGCCTTAACAATACTGTCAAGGCAAGTGCTGTTGCGTACAGCACCTGTGAAGGGCCGGCACGACACATGAGGAGGTGGGTGGCCAGCATCATGCTCCAGCCGCATTTGTCTTGCCCAGTGGTGATGTTTACGCGCTGCACCGGGTACTTTTTTGAAGCCGAGTCGACCTTGGGGAGGTCCAGGACCAGTTCAGACTGGTGTTGGTGGCAGTCACAGTGGGTTCAAAGAACAGCGCTCTAACCATTACACTACCGCTCAGGACCACAGAGATAGAGATCCCCCATATAGCCTTAAACAGATTGTTGGGGCAAGTACTTTTCCCGAGTAGCACCTATGAAGACTGTAACGGCACACAAGGGGGTGGATGGCCAGCACCACACCCCGGCTGCCTTTGTTGCCCCCAGTGGCAATGTTTACTACACGCCACACCAGGTACCCATTTGAGGCTGAGTCGACCTAGGGGAGGCCCAGGATCGGTTCAGATAATTGTCACCGGCATTGGTGGCCGTGAGCAAGAATAAAATCCGTGTCGCCGGGATCGTTGCGAGGCATAGCGCAAAACCGCTACTGCACCACCGCCCAGCGCCACGGGCACAGAGCGACAACCGTCGAAGCTTCTACAACACCCCCCCGACACCGCCACCCTCCGGTGAGCGAAGACCGCGGCCACGCTCTGGGGATGACGACGCGGGCCGAGCACTCGCGCATTTGCCGCTTGTTGCAGATGCGCACGGTTCGAGCCCAGGGGCCACCCTGGATGACGCCGCGGGGTGTATCAACCAGAGACACAATGGGCCGTCTGCTTCACAGTGGTGAACATTCGAGATCCCGTGACGTGATTCGAAAAGGAGTGGGCCACGTGTGCCGGCGTCACGGTCCAAACTTACCAATTAAAATTACTCGTAAATGACCTATGAATTATAAAACTATACAAATAAGGTGTATTTATACTGGAGGAATCCGATGAGCTAACAAACAATAGGAAACACGATAGGAGTGTAAAGTAAAAAACATATCAATAAGTCAATTTTTTTTATCTTACCAGGTCAAACTTACCGAGGTATTTACTTATTTTTCAGATGCAACCTGGCCACAAATGGTAGCTCAACGCAGTGGCTTATCATGTGGAAATTTATAGCAGCGAAATACTCCAAACACAAGTCGATTATAAATGTGGAGGGAGAAAGCAGAGCACCCGGAGAAAAATCCAGACGACCACTGGAAGAGTGAGAAAGACGCAAACTCCAAATATACAGCAGGCGTCAGGGTCGGGATCGAACCCACGACCTTCTGTATACCAGGCAAAGGAGTTAGCATCTCGCCACCGATGACGGAGGCAGCAGAGGATCGTGTGCGGCCATCCACCTAGCTGGGCTTTGACAGAAAACCACGAGCATGTGAGAGGGAGTGGACAGGGTGAGATGAAACGAGAAGGGAGTAGGCAGGAGTGAGCCCTTGCAGAGAAACAGAGGGTGACCTCTATTTTTTTATATTGTTAACAACCCTATAGGAATAGGTTTTACCCTTTTAACTGAATAAAGGTGTCAGTTTTTGTGCCAGTTAAAAGGGTAAAACCTATTCCTATATCTTGTTTCTGGCAAAGGAGGTCTAATAATGTTAATGCTCACCCCGAGCCCTCAATACTCTGATAGTGCGCTGTTTTTGAGTTGTACGCCTTTTGGCGTCTTCTGGTCCAACATCAATGGAGACTAGGCTCTAAGAAAAGCTGTCTCGGGTGTGGACCAATCAAATTCAAGGACAGTGCATATTATTATCAGAGTTGTCTTTTTTGTTTGCATTTTGACTGCTTGTGTTGTGGTCATTGCAAACATGATGCCTTGAATAAAGGTGTCAGTTTTTGTGCCAGTTAAAAGGGTAAAACCTATTCCTATATCTCGTTTCTGGCAAAGGAGGTCTCATAATGTTAACAACCCTGCCAAGCCCTTGCCCCCCCCCCCCCCCCCCCCCGAGTTGCCAGAGCATGCTCTCTGGACAGAAGCTCCCTTCTTCCTCACTCTGCTGTCCGGATCTGGAACTGCCTCCCTGATTAACACATTGTCGGCAAAGTCACCAATTCCGGTCTTCAGGCCTTCAAATGCCGAGCACAGACACATGGGAAATTTTCTAATGTCACCACACGCCTTGTAGGGACTGAATCTTTGAGCTGTAGTGAACCAATGATAATGGCGATTAGATGTACTAATGTTTAACATGTAGGCTTTCACGACCAACATCATCTATAATACAGGTGTTTTTTGGGTTCGTGGTGGTGGCGGCTTTAACGACATTCATATCTTTATTGTAACTGTAAAAAACCTGCATTATAGATGTACTAATGTCTGATATGGCGATCGTTCACAATTGCACCCAATGCAACAAAAAAACAGATTAACGCGAGCCCCATACAAAGCGCCGATCACCAAAATGCAGTTGGGGGGGGGGGGGGGAGTAGAACAGAAATTCTGCAAACAGCAGCCCCGAGTTTTCGGCGCGACAGGGGACTAGCGAAGTGCGGAAAAAACTGGGCACACTACCCCACACAGGTGGGGAACGCCAGCGGGGGGAGGGAGGACATTAATGTTTATACGGGGAGGGGAAGAGGGTAATGGGGGAAAGATAGGGACGAGGAGGGGATATGAGGGGAAGGGGGGGAAGGGGGGTGGGGAGGGGGGTGATCTCTTTACGTTTATTCAGGACAGAGGGTGTGCCAGTGAAGGGATCGGAGTATGAAGGGTAACGTTGGTCTCTTTCTGTGTGCAGAGTCCTGGCGGCAGAGGCATTTCGGATCATCGTCATTCTCCCCATCTGGGGAAGGCGAAAGGTGGTTGAGGAGGCTACAGAGGACAATGGATGAGTGTGCTCTGCAGCAGCCAGGCAGAGGGAGCGGCGATGAAGGAGATGCGCAGACAAGAGGGAGGAGGTGTGAGACAGGGTGGAGGTACGTGGGGAGAAGAAAAATACAGGGGGCTCAGGATCAACGACGATGACTCGAAGGTTAAGCGCACACACTCCTTGCCAGGCGCTTTACCTTGTTAGGGTGGTTTTGCTCTACGATGCCATCTCGATCAGAGTCCACATCCAGGGAGAGGCCTGTAATCGAACAACAACAACAGCATCGTCACCATCGCATGGCCAAAGCTTAAATATCTCACTTTCGAGTCCAGGTCAACGAACTTCCTCTGTTCCTCTTTTCCTCTCTATTAAATATAAGGGAATAATTATGTCCATGTCCGTCCCAAACTATATTGAATTGTTACGCATTGACCACACCTTTTTGATGTAAACAATGAACTTCAGTCAAATGTCCTTAAAGTAATGATGTGTTTTATTTGATATTTTAAAAATATTGTAAACTACATTATTCCTATGCTAATTATACTATGACGGTCACACAGTGCATCTGAATTACAAAAGCACTACTTACTAAGCACTGCAACGTTGCAGGAACAATTATTAACTTTAAGTGGCACTAAAAGTTGAAGCCTCTTTAGTTCTTACTGGCTTAACCAACTCGCCTGGTATACAGGAGGTCGTGGGTTTGACCCCGACCCTGATGCCTGCTATATATTTTGAATGTGCGTGTTCTCCCTGTGGTTCCATGGAATTTTCTCCGGGTCCTCCGGTTTTTCCCTCCACATTTAGAATCAACGTCACACGTCTAGAGTATTTTGGCTGCTTTACATTTCCACGTGATGGTAAGCCACTTCGTTGAGCTACCATGTGTGACCAGGTCATTTCTGAAAAAAGCAATATAGCACAATGGGCCTTTCCTGGTAAAATAACATAAAAAGTTTAGTTTCAGTTTAAAACACAAAAAGCTCTCAGACTGACAGAGCATATTGTGTTGGTATTTTACGCGTTGAAACAGACCATGGTTTATTTACTTTATATTCCACAACTAGTGACGTAGGTGCATTCATAAATTGAGTACAATCTCTGAAGTTCACGATTTGTTTAAACCACCTTCAACCATGATCAGACGCCTAATTAACTGCTGTGGACAGACACATGAGTGCTTTGTGAACATTGCATGATGTCAATCACACCTCATCTAATTTTACATTTATAGAGAGCACCTTCACTCAAGGCGCTTGACAGAGCTTACAACTGAGAGACAGAATATCATGATTGAGATGGCAGGGGCGTGCAAGAGTTGAGGAATGAGTGACCACAAAAGAGGAGAACGTAGGTATCACGGACGTGTGGGGGTAGGAATGGGAAGAAGTGGAGGGGCGAGGGGCGGGATGAAGAAGAGAACAGGTAACAGAAGAGAGGTGAGCTTGAAAAGATTCAATGCTTCAAAACCTTCGCGTGCATCTCCTCATCAAGAAAACCAATGTTTCAAAAGAAAGACACCTGTTTGAGTTACACAGCTGTTGTTCACATTCTTCCACTTAACCAAAAGTTAATTAAAATACAGGAATAAGGGATCTTTGGACAACCAGATGAATTGCAAATTGGCTCCAAAGCAGAGATAGCAGGAATAATGGCAAATAAAGTAGCGTATATGAGGCAGTTCATTGTATGCTATTGTTTGAGCTGGAACGGGCAGCCGATTAAGTCAATTAATTGACGAAAAATTGTAACCAACGATTATTTTTTGGTACTTGATTACTCAGGCCCATTTAAAATGGTGACTGTTCCCCCATCCTTAAGGGAGAAAACCATCCCCACAAGCCATGGCCAGCGTGACATGGCCGACTTTGCTTGAGTCACCACGCCCCACCCATTACCTTCTGTTCAGTATCAACGTGTGGAAAACAGACGTGAGAATGATTATTTTAACATAAACTATTTTTGTCTTATCCAAATGGCACAGAAATTGCTAGAATAATCGATTGCTAAGGTAATTGGATAACACCGCTCTAGATACTACACGCTCAATGCCCCCCCCCCCCCCCCCGTCGCCATTTCATCACGGTGTGACATCACAGGAAGTGACGTCACAGTTCTGTCATTACCCGATATCGCCGAAAAGCTCTGGGTGACTATTAGAGTGAATCCGGGATTGAATGGAAAGAAACACCACTGTATGACTCTACTTTATTAGTTATTAAGATGAGGAGCTCATGTTAGTTGGCTTGCATGTCAAGAATAATGTTTTAGGCTTTGGGTTTAGAATTCCACATATTAGATAGGGGCTCATATCATGGTTGGTGTTGGGTGTTATTGTTATTGAATCATTTTCGCGTTCCGTAGGTCCTGAATTTTGATTTAAGATAAAGTATCACGCTCGTTGTCACTCGCACAAGGACACAACTCAGAAGTGACGACACTCAGCGACCACATCTCACCAATGGCCGTCAGGTAAACTCGAGCTTTGGCCAGGGCAACGTCAGCCTTTTCTCCGTAAAAGGTCACGGACATCTGCAATCAAAACCCAAAGAGGATGAGTACCACGCGCGGTGTGGGGGGGGGGGGGGTAGTTGAGACCTGAATTAACGTGATACAAAATCCTTATCTCTGGTGTAGGCCACTCTGTTTCAAAGACAATGTATATATTATCAGAGCATGTTTGTTTGCAAGTATGTGTGGTTAATGCAGACTTGATTCCTTGAAATAGGTATCTATTTGGTGTTTGAACATCTTAACACCTGTTCTATTGCCATCACATCTAATTATTCCATTATATTTCTGATATGTTGAATAAATAGCATCCATCCCTCTTCTGAATACTCATTTTGCCTGGGCATATCCCGTGAATGCAATCGTGATGATTGCGGCAGTGGCCGGTGGTAGGAGTGTTGGTGCTAATGGTCCTGTGCACTTGGACGGATGAGAGTGGTGTGGCAGGGATATCAATGTCGGTCACGGTGGAGAGTAAATGGATCCAGTGGCAGATACAGTGGTGGTGTTGTTGCTCGTGGTAGTGATTAAGTGCCCTCACTGTAGTGGCAGATGAATCAGTATTAATGGTTATAAAGGGTGGTGGTGGACGAATTTAGACAAAGATTCCCCATATAGCCTTTAACAGACTATTGGGGCAAGTGCTATTGACGAGCACCTATGAAGGTCGGCAAGGCAAAGATGGGGTAGGTGGTAACACCACGCTTGGCCGCCTTTGTCTCCCCAGTGGCAATGTTTTTATACACTGCACCAGGTAATCATTTGAGGCTGAGTCGGCCTCGGGGAGGTCCAGGACCGGTTGAGATCATTAATCGTCACTGGTGTTGGCCGTGAGCGAGAATCGAACTCAGGTCGCCGGGTTCGTAGCGTGGTGCGTTAACTACTGCGCCACTGCCCCCCACGAATTGAGAATGCACACCCACACACAACAACCACCATTCACCACTAAGTGGTGGTGACGTCATCACGGCACCTGTGCCAGGCCAAGTGCACTTTGAGGCCACGTGAAATGTCGAAGGGTCGCTGGACAGACCCAGGTGCCATGAGTTGACCGACTGAGATGACAGGCAAATGCACCAGCCGTGCCCCCATAATGTGCACGCACACAAACGCGCACATGCACGCATGCACACGCAGCGTAACGTTCTCACCTTCTTGTCACCAACCTCCTGGCTGGGCGTGAGCACCTGAGCGTGCACCTGGGTCCCCACGGCCACGCGGCCGCGTGCGTCGTTGGCCGCCGACCTGAACGGCGTGCTCACCCAGCACGTGACGTCCACGCTGGCACTCAAAGAGAAGCTCTTTGCCCCCGGCGGTGCCACACTAGGAATGGGCAAGGGGGGGGGTGTAGGGCAATTTGAATGTACAGCATCCCAAACGCGTTACTCCTTGGCATTAGTTTGAATGGTAAAATCCTAAACAAAATCTGCTGCATTGCCATAATATGATACTGAACTAAACACTTGTTTTATTTTACCAAGTAAGGCCCCCCACTGAGCTATATATAGCTCTTTTCTATAAGCGACCTGGTCAGAAATGATAGCTCAATGAAGTGGCTTATCGTCACGTGGATATTTATAGCAGCCAGATACCGGAGGGCCCTGATAAAAAACCACACGACCACGGGGAGAGAGACACCACAAACTCGAAATATGCAGCAGGCGTCAGGGTCGGGATTGAACCCACGACCTCCCGTATACTAGGCGAGGAAGTTAACATCTCGCCACTGTGGCGCCCGTATAAGCAAGAGTTCTCACAAAAAAACATCCCCTGTACTGTTTTGAATACACGTAGTCTGTCAGAATTTTCAGAAATTAAATGTCCTACACACGGGTTGTCGTTTACACTCAAAATAGCCCGTACTGGATCAGTTGCAACAACATGGCAAGTTGCGTTTAATTTATCTCTCGGATTGCATCGTCAGACATTATCTATCCACTGCTGGATGATGGCCTCATCGTCCCATCGTGGCACTGCATTGCCACAGTCCCTCCTGCGCCAGCATGTGAGCTGATCTGCCACCACTGCCTTCTCCACGGGACTTGTGAAACTCATTTTTGGCAGTATGTACACTCTATATAAGATGTCTTAGCACATTTAATGCAGCCGTTTGGGTGGCCACTTTATCTCAATTATAATTGATAATTATTAGTTCAGACACATGCAAAGCAGGTTTGTGTGACAGCCACCAACCATTGTTAAGTCAACATAACTCTGAGCTGCATTTAGAAACATGCGTTTAGAGTATTTGACTATGATACATTTCCACGTGATTGATACTTTGTTGATCTATTATTTGTGGTCAGGTCGCTTCTGAAAAAGAGCTATGCAGCTCAGTGGGTCTGATCTGGTAAAATAAAATAAAAATTAATAGTTAACTCTAGTGTGCCATGATGGTCTTCGTGAGGTGGTTACCAACAGCACTTTCCCCTCAACAATCTGGTAAAGGCTACAGAGGGCATATTTGTCTTTGTATATATGTGTATGTATGCATAGGTTGTGTGCACCTAAGGTTAGTACTTGTGGTTGACTGCCTAGTTGGTTATGGTTTAAGGCTCGGGCTCGCATTCGATCGGTTAATTTGTTATGCTTGCAAACTGCTTACCCCCCATCTCCCCATTGCAACGTGTGACCTTTTTTTTGTTTTTGGCACCGCTTCTGTGACAGCAGCGTGAATCAGACACCAAAGTACCCCCCCCCACCCCAAGTCCCAGTCCATATTAATCAATGCTGCATGTGCAGTGGGTCGTCCTTCCCCCGCACCTCCGATTAGCACGGTAGGCTAGGTACGCCGCTAAAGAAGTTCAACATACAGTACATAAACATAGAACATAGCAATGAATGGGCCTCGGGAAATAGCACCACTCTGCGTAGCTGTAGGGCAAAGCAATCGCATCTGGAGAAGGAGCCCTGGGCACCAAACCATAGGCACGGGTAAACTTGCACAGTTATTGAGTTGTGTCTCTCATGTGGTGACCACTGGGTTCTGAACCTTTAGCCAAGGGCACTTCATTGCCGACCCCTTCCTCACTGTTGCACACGCGCACGAGAGAGACAAGATGATGAAACGAGCCACAAATTGTTCGGTTGTAAACCGCGCCAGATGTTGGTGGTCACTTCTGAACCAGAATGTTCTCTGTGAGTCGCTACATCTACAGCATGTACAATTCGTTGGGGATATGCGAATGATTGGAATAAGAGCAGATGGCCAAACGCCATGGGTTATAGGAAATGCATTTATGCAAAGTTGGTGCTGCCCTGCATTTAAATTTCCTCGCATAACCATGTACTTTCTCCTGAACATCTGTGAAAAAATAGCTTTATAGCTCATCGGATTCCTCCAGCATAATAAAGATTCCAATTCTGACCGCTGCTGGCGACAAAGAAAATTCCGGTTCAGAAGTGCCCACCGACAACCCAAACAAATCTGTGGTGCGGCCATTTATGGGCACTTCTGAACCAGAATGTTCTCTGCGAGTTGCTACATCTACAGTGTGTACAAATCACTGGGGATGTGCGGACGATTGGAATCATTTCAGATGGCCAAGCGCCATGGGTTATACCAGGGGGGGTTGGCAACCTGTGGCTCCGGAGTCGCATGTGGTGGCTCTTTGGCTTCCCCCTTGCGGGCGGCCGTAAAATAGACAGTAGGCCTCAAACGTAATTGAACGTAAAGATAATTGATTAAGTATGGCAGGGAATGGGTCACTTTAGAATATCTAGACGATGGCGAAATGTACAAAAGTCAAACTGTATTGTTAAAGTATCATTAAGGGGGACAAAAACTAAATAGACGCAGTTTATTCCATCACCTATTTTGGTTAAGTCACAATGTGGTTGTCATCTGCCTGTATACCTGCTGCTGTGTTTGTGTGTAACAAGGAGCTCAGAGTGCGAACGGCTCTCGAACTATATTGGTCAAAGACAAAACAAAAATGTCTCTTCTTTTTTGAAAAGTTGCCGAGCCCTGGGTATATACGAATTGCGTTCGTGCAAAGTTGATGCTGCCCTGCATTCGCTTTACTCACACTGCATTTGATTTCTCCTGGATATCTGTGAAAAAAGAATGAGTTTTAGCTCATCGGATTCCTCCAGGATAATAAAGTTTCTGATTCTGACCGCTGCTGACGACAGGACCTCTCCACTCGAGGGCACGTGGGCTTCTCTTCCACGATGGGCAGACATCTTGGAAGAGCACGGGAGTACCCACACTTTAGGGGCCGTCCATAATTTTGGATGATTTTTAACCCCCCCCCCCCTCGTCACACGGCGTCACAAAAAGTCAGACCCCCTCCCTCAAATATGACGTCACAAAGCTCTGCCCCCCCCCAAACCATATTTCCATTTTGAAAATAAAACATGCTTCAAATCTCTTTAAACTATTGACATTGTAGTGCGTATTTAATGTTGTGCTGCACTCTGATGTTGTAGGAGTGTTGTTATAACAAGTAGTGTTCTTATAACAATTCTATATTTATTTAAAGTTGCGCATTTTGATGTAACGTCACATTTCTCAACCCCCCCCCCCTCGTCACACATCGTCACAAATGTCTGACCCCCCCCCCCTAAGTGCGTGACGTCATTCATGGACGGCCCCTTACCCCACCACACGTGACCTGCTGACAGACGGTGTTGCACCCATTTATGCTGTTGAGTGGACAGAGGTGGGGGGGTTGGTGGGGGGGGGATTTAAGCGACTTGCAGCGTTGTTTCAACAGTACAACAAAATTCTACTTGGATTAACAAAGCGTATAAATGTGACCATGGCTCAAGGTGTTGTACAAGTATGGGGACGACATGTACATGTACAGAGCTTTTTTGGGGGGGGTGGGGGAGATTTAAAAAATGTTGGCAGGCAGAGGGGATAAATTCCTCAGGTCACAAATGATCTTACGGTAGATGGTCAAATGAACACACTTTTTTGGGAGAGAGAGATATTCGTTTCGGCAAATGAGGAAGGCCTCTAGCCCTGACAAATCCGGGCAGCGGTGACGGCGGTTTGGATGGGAAAAATAAAATAATTCCAAATCATGGAGGCTCGTGTTGTTGCTCTGGAGACCTGGAGATCGATGATCATCGATATTCGGTCACCTTGTTGATGGCATTCGTTGTGATTTCTCGCTCAACAGGGTGGACCACGTGAAGGCTGCCACGGGGAGGCGGGGGGGCAGCAGCAGAGTAAACGAGTGCCCTCCCATTCCATGAAAGTTTATTTAGGGGTTCGGACAGAAAGCCCTCGTTTCTGGAGCAGAGAGCACTCGAGGGGGAGTAAAGTGGGCTAAGAGAGAGGGGCGAGGTAGGAAAGTCCACGGAGTATCTTAGAGGTATCGAGTGTGATGCCAGGAATCGATCCGAATTGGGGGTGATGTCGCATTGTTTACAGGGTGTTGTGCATTAAGTTTGATGGAGTTTGTAGATTTAGCGACGTCATACGCCTCCGATTAGCACGGTTTGGCTTTCATGTGGTGTGAAAGAAGCTCGACATACATGTGTACGTACAACGAGAAGAGAGTTGCAGTAGTTAAGTTGAGAGGTGATGACGGTCTCAAGCAGCAGCAGCAGCTATGGCGAGGAGATGGCAGGTGCCAGTGGAGGTATAAAGGTAAGACCTACTTTAAACGCGATACCTCACCGAATGTTACCCGTATCTTCCATAAATCATTTTTACGATCACATTTACATTCCTTGGTTATCAGTCACTGATTTGGCTGTGAATGTAAACATCCTAACAGCTGCAAAACACCTCTGAGTGCACAATTATGTGCAAATCCCATAGTATAAGCCTTTACTGACTACATAAGCAAACAATAGATATCTTAAGATAATAGTACAGTACTCCCTTGGCTAACTGTTTCATCCGTTCCATGAAAATTACTGGCAATCGAAATAACTGTGCATTTAATTCACTTATAAGTTGAAAAATAAGTCTGCAAGAGAGACGTTTCCACGCCAAAACAGAAAACGTCATGTAAACAAAGCCAGTCGAGGTCTAAAAGCTCATAAATGGGCGTCGCTGATTGGCTGAGGTAAGCTCTGCCCACTTACGAGCGCTCGGATTAGCCGAATTTGGCGCCCCGCGTGCATAACGTAAACGTTACCGTTAATCAAAATGTTAACATCAGTCAAAACCACGGGGGTCCTATGGGAGACGAAATGTCAACCGATTAAAAAAAAACGTTAACCGATGTCACCGTTAACCGAGGGACTACTGTATTAGATCAGGGACGCCAAAACAAAGCCCCTGACAGAAACCTAGACGCCCCCCCCCCCCGCCACCGCCCTATCATAGACTGTCTGGAAGAGCCAAGGCCCACATATAGATT